AATGCTTACTAAACACGGTCTGCACTTATAGAAACGCCAGCTTTATGTGTCGTTATGGAGTAGTGTTTAGCAAGTTAATTTGCTTTTTTTGTCTTGCTTTGGTTGGTTTTACGTCATATCAACCTCAACAGGTTATTTAATTATGACAAGAATTTTGCTGGTAATATATTTTTTCCCAAAAATGTATGTCTGATAATAATGTATTGCTGGTAATTTTTTCTTCAAAAATGTTTTGCTGATATAAAAACCTATTTTTACACGTTCATAGTGTTTTAACCCCAGTTTTAACCATAGCTGGGACCCCAACAAGTGCTACCACCCCCGGGTCAAGGTGGACCTGGGAACACCAGCAATTAAGAAGTGGTTCCACGCTCCTCAACACCTCCAGGCAAGAGGCCTTGCAGTTGGATATGGTTTATAGTTTTACCCAGGACGCAATTTGCTTTTTTATTGCAACACCGCGCCGATGGACACTTTATTACTGCTACTAATACTTCTACTGCTACTACTGATACAATAATTTTACTGCCTCTTATTATTGTTGAATTTTGTCAAAACTCTCTTGGTCAATGCATTCTTTATTCTTACTTTTATTTTATTACAAGTTTTATTCTATGTCATTGTTTTTTTTTTTAAATTCCAACACTATGACAATGAATTCAATATTATTACAACTGTTTTATCGTTAATTTTACGCCGGGTTCTTACTGTGCATTTTATCTCAAAACTGTGAGTCAATAGGCACAAGGATGCATCATGCATGAAACAACGGTACTCGTGCGAATTTAAGCAACATCAAATCTGGTCAGTACCTAAATGGGTGATCGGTTGGATGTGCGGGTGATGTAATAGATTGAAATTCACTTATGTACAGATACCCTTAGAAAAGTTTTGATTCCATCTCTTTTTTCCCCACAAATTGGGGTTAATTAGTAAGACTTGAATCATTAAACCATCTCAAATAAAATTCTTTGAGATTTCTCTGAGAATAATCTAGCCGGATACATTTTGGGACTGTTTGGGTAATCATCACTGAACTGGAAAGTGAACGACATGAAATCCGAAACAGAGTTCAAACCTTGGCGAAGCCACACCTTTATTTCAGATTGACTTTGCTGAGATATATATTTTTTGGTTTTAGAGATGAAGAATAGTCAAAAGTCTTGTGTTTGTAATTATACCGAAAATAATCAAAATTCAGTATCCATCTCCAATGTCGAGCCTTTATCTATTACACCAGTCGCACATTCAATCTTAGAAAGATCTAGTATTAACAAGCCGTCACCCATATAGGTATTAACTAGGACCGACTTTGCTTAACTTCGGTGATTGTTCGTGAACCGGTGTTTAAATATGATATGACCGTGAGCCTACCATTCAAAATATTTAGATTCCAGTATTAAATACCCCAGAGAGGTTGATATGCCGCTAATCAAAATCAACAAGATAACAAATATAAAAGAACTTTCATGAAATTAATCCATATAGTATCCTACAATTTCTAAAATATAACTTCAACAAGACTGCAACATAAATCATACATCACCGCCTCTCGTAATTAAGTCTACGTAAACGTATATGCCAAAAAAAGCAGAGTATTATCTACCATGTATTCAATTATGAAAGTAGAATTATATATATCATATTTTTATTACTTCAAAACTCCCAAGAATATTAAATTGTGGCGTTAAATGACCCATCAGGAGTTGATATGCCCTTAAAAACAAATCAGTCAATCAATCAATTATCGTGTAAGCGCAACACGATTCTATGATTAACCAATGCTAATAATAATGGTAATATGAGCCGTTTTTTTTATACAAGAAAAAGTCAAAGATTCTAGCCCCCAAAACAAAACCCTGAAAATTACACTTGGAGCCTCTAATCCACTCTGTTGGTTGAAATTAAAAAAATATTTCTATTAAAAAACATCCTATGACATTTATCACATTTTCCAATACTAATGGTATCTAACTAACTTTTTGTTTGAAGTCATGCGGAACGTCAACATCTTAATTATGCAATTATTTTCTCTTTAGGTTACATGTGGTATTTTAGTTGTTTTAGCTATTGAAAGGCCACAAGTGGCGTAAATTCTGTTATCTGGTAGAGTGAGTGATTCTGTCGTACCAATCCACTAGGTTCCAGAAAGGATGGGCCTCACTCTAACTCAAAGGCTTCTTTCGCTGGTTTCTGTTATTTGGTACAGTTCTTTGTGATTCTGTCATGCCAGTCTTCTAGATTCCAAGGTGGATGGTCCTCGCTAAAACCTACAGACTTCCATCGTTGGTTTCTGTTATTTTCTACAGTTCTTTGTGATTCTGTCATGCCAGTCTTCTAGATTCCAAGGTGGATGGTCCTCGCTAAAACCTACAGACTTCCATCGTTGGTTTCTGTTATTTTCTACAGTTCTTTGTGATTCTGTCATGCCAGTCTTCTAGATTCCAAGGTGGATGGTCCTCGCTAAAACCTACAGACTTCCATCGTTGGTTTCTGTTATTTTCTACAGTTCTTTGTGATTCTGTCATGCCAGATTCCATGGATGGTCCTCGCTAAAAACCTACAGAGGGTTCCATTTTCAGAAGGATGATCCTCATTAAAAGAGATTCCAAGGTGGATGGTCCTCCTAAAACCTACGTTGGTTTCTGTAAGTTCTTTTGAAGTCGATTCGATCATCCTTCTTGGACTTCCAGAAACCACAGGTCCCCCCCTCGTTCGTTTCTGTTATTTTTTTAGATTTGTTATTCTGATTTTGTCGTGCCAGTCTGCGAGGTTCTAAGAAGGATAGTCCTTGTAAGACCTAAAGGCTTCCTTTGTTGGTTTCTGTTATTTGGTACAGTTCTTTGTGACTGTGTAGCGCTAGTTCCCGAGATTCCAAACAAGATGGTTCTCGCTAAAACCTGCAGTCCTGGACTTCAGACGTCCCTCGTTGGTTTCTGTTATTTTTTTAGATTTGTTTTTCTGATTTTGTCGTGCCATTCTTCGATCCATACAAGTTCAAAAGCGTCTCCGAGTCCTTTTGGATGACATTATTTTTCAACTCACAGGCAGATTGTGACACCCCTGTCGCTGCCCTATCACTTCTACCATGGAACTATATTCCTTGATTTCGCCTTGATGTCTAGGAACGGCTATGTCACTTATATTGTAGCAAACACCTACATTCTCTCCGTATTTCATCAATGTGAAATTCAGTTTCATTTGAAAAGCTACTTCCCACGAACCATTGTTCTGTGAAACCGACTCCCAAGAGGATGTTTCCTTGATTACTACAATCTTAACCTGTTCAAGCCTAGGATTAACTGTTATCTCATCCTCGTATCTGTATAAAATGCCTCAACTAACCCGTTACCACGAATGGCCCCTGGGCCTATTACAGGATGAAACTTACTGTAAAAAAAACCCCAAAAGAACCAAAAAACTGGTCCATAACCCGCAGTGTTTGAAGTGTTTAGTATTTATTAATTCAACGCCCTAGATTTTTATGATGGATTCAGTGTAGATGCTATCAGTATAGCTCTGTCTGTGTGTACATGTACATGTGCGCGCGTGTATGTGTGTGAGTGTATCTGTGTATTTATATATGTTTGTATGTGTGCGCGCGCGTTACCAAAGGGAAAAAAACAACGTTTTATGTAATAAAACATTTATTTTCATAGCCAGTGTTAACCGGTTTACTCAATTTTTTCTGTCAATCGATCTGTACAGGCACCTAATTTTCGTTGATAGGACAATGCTTGGTCGCCCTCTGACGACATTGGTCAATGTCTGACGACGCTTGTCCGCCATCTTACGACGCTTTGTCAGCGTCTGATGACGCTTAGTCAGCATTGACAACACTCGGTCTGACAACGCGTAGTCAATCGCTGGCGACGTTTGATCACTCTGTGACAACGATTGTCAGCCATCTGTCGACAATTGGTCAACGTCTGATGACGCTTGGTCATCCTCTGTCGACACTTCATCACCTTCTGAAGATATTTGGTCATCCTCTGACAACGTTTGTCCACCATCTGACGACGCTTGGTCATCTTCTGACGAGGATTGTCTACCATTTGACGACGTTTGGTTAACATCTGACGGCGGTTGGTCACTCTCTAACGAGACTTGTCCACTATTTGACTACATTTGGTCAACATCTGACAGAAGCTTAGTCTGACGACGGTTGGTCTGACGACGCTTGGTCAAACAACTCTTAGTCAACCCCTGACGACGCTTATCCACTATCTGATGACGCTTAGTCAACCTCTGACGGGGTTTGTCCACCATTTAACCGCGTTTGGGCAACATCTGAGGACGCTTGGTCTGACAACGCTTAGTCAACCTCTGACGACGCTTATCCACTATCTGATAGCGCTTAGTCAACTTCTGATGAGACTTAGTAATCCTCTGACGAGGTTTGTCCACCATTTGACAGCGTTTGATCAAATTCTGACGACGCTTAGTCAACCTCTGACGACGCTTATCCACTATCTGACGACGCTTAGTCAACCTCTGACGACGCTTATCCACTATCTGAGGACGCTTATCCACTATCTGATGACGCTTAGTCAACCTCTGATGACGCTTAGTTACCCTCTGACGAGGTTTGTCCAGCATTTAACCGCGTTTGGTCAAATTCTGACGACGCTTAGTCAACCTCTGACGACGCTTATCCACTATCTGATGACGCTTAGTCAACCTCTGACGACGTTTAGTCAACCCTCTGACGACGCTTATCCACTATCTGACGACGCTTAGTCAACCTCTGACGACGTTAGTCAACCTCTGACGACGCTTATCCACTATCTGACGACGCTTATCAACCTCTGACGACGCTTAGTCAACCTCTGACGACGCTTATCCACTATCTGACGACGCTTAGTCAACCTCTGACGACGCTTAGTCAACCTCTGACGACGCTTATCCACTATCTGACGACGCTTAGTCAACCTCTGACGACGCTTAGTCAACCTCTGACGACGCTTATCCACTATCTGACGACGCTTAGTCAACCTCCGATGACGTTTAGTCAACCTCTGACGACGCTTATCCACTATCTGACGACGCTTAGTCAACCTCTGACGACGCTTAGTCAACCTCTGACTACGCTTATCCACTATCTGACGACGCTTAGTCAACCTCTGACGACGCTTAGTCAACCTCTGACGACGCTTATTCACTATCTGACGACGCTTAGTCAACCTCTGACGACGCTTTTTCAACCTCTGACGACGTTTGTCCACTATCTTGACGTTAGTCAACCTCTGATGACGCTTAGTTACCCTCTGACGAGGTTTGTCCACCATTTGACGTCACTTGGTCTGGCGACGCTTGGTCTGGCGACTCTTAGTTATCCTCTGACGACGCTTGCTCACCCTTTGACGAGGCTTTTCCACCATTTGACGACGTTTGGTCAACGCCTGATTACGTTTGGTTTACCACTGACGCCACTTCGTCACTCCCTAACGACACTTGACCACCCTCTAACGACACTTCGGCAGACCACTAACGACGCTTGGTCACCCCTTCTTGTCCCGTCATAAAAAAAATTGTGGTGCAAAATCTTTGCAATAATTTTATTCTTCTTCTGTTAAGGTTACAACACAAAACGTGCCTTTCAATAGCAAAATTCTTAAACTCAGCAAACAAAAATCCTATTTTTGTTGGTATGTTTAGTTTCAAGTCCAGAGCTATTTTATCAATTAGACACGATCCGCTGACAGGGAAACAAAGATTTCGCCTTTGTATTTCTGCCAACTAATTTTTCAAACATTCTTCTCGCCTGACACGAGAGATCAGAATAAATAATGCATGCTGTTACCTAAAGGGAAATAATTGAGAAATAAAACAATAAATATAAAATAAAAAAAAATCAATTCAAAAAAAAAAAAAAAAAAATTAGTGGAAGGAAGGTTATGTGGAGAAAGGAAAAGAGAGATGTTTGGTTGTTTTAATTTCTCTTCATCTTTTTCTTTTCTTTTTTTTCTTCATTCTCTTTCAGGAAGAATTTCTTACTAATTGATGTATGATACGTAGTCTTAAAATAATAATGAATCATACAAGTTACAATGTTTAGTGATTTTTATCTAAAATATTAATGGAATTGTTTGTCGCCTGCTTTTCTTTACGTCAGCATGCATATTAGACGTCCATCGACAATGCAAGCATCTGGAAGCACATATACATAACAGCCATATTTCGACAGTAATGGTAGCACTGATTAGAAAATACAGACAATTCTTTTCTTTGAAAAATTCATTGTAATTCTATAATAATAACAATAATAGTAATAAGTTACAATTCTTTCTTCTTCTATATGGTTAGTCCTTTCAGACGTTGCCGATTATGGCTCTCCACAATTTCCTGTCCTTTGGAGCTCTTCATAAATTTTGTCTTTCACCATCTCTCCTGAACCTTGTTTCTCTCTGTCACTCTGGCCTTCCCGTTAGTATCAAATTTTACAAGCCCTCTTTTTCTCATTATGGGCTCTAGACATTTCAACTATTTCTGGTGTTAGGTATAAACGTCTATTTTGTTTCCATTTTCTCTAAAAGTTCATCTTCGCTCAAACGTTTGGTCCATGACATTCTCAGCATCCTTCTGTAGAATCACATTTCTTTTTGCCTCAAGTATTTTTCTTCATCCGTAAGCTGGACAAACTCCTCACGGATGAAGAAAAATACTTAATGCAAATTTTGTCCAGCATTCACTGCCATAAAGGAGGACTGGCATTATGTAACAGTTCAGTAGTCTTTACCTTCGTTCTAGCGAAATTTTTCTGTTTCTTAATACCTTGCTTAGCTTTTGGAAGGCATCTTTCGCTATCCCAAAGCGTTTTCCGATTTCTGTGCCGCACTTTCCGTCCTCTGTTAAAACATTCCCCAAATATTTAAATTGTTGTACAAGAATCAGTATGGTCTATGTTGGGGAATTATTATGTGCCCCAGGTAGGTTATTCGCTGCTTTCCACCATCTTTCTTGCCTTTAATATGCCCTGTCAGTGTCAAATTTTCTAAGCACCTTTTCCTCATTATGTACCCTATAAATTTCATATGTCTCTTCCTGATGTTAACTCCTGATGTGATACACGCTTAGGCAATCATGTATCTTTCGATACATGACTGACGAGGCAGATTTTTTCCAGCAGTACTTCCTTTCTACCATCCAAGGCTATAGAACCCGGTCTTTCCAGTTATTTACCTATAGCTGGGAGGAGAAGAACAGCAGTCATATCTTTCCCTAGAGTATTAGCACGTAAGTGAATGTAATGAATTCGACAGGAATTCGAACCCGGCTTTTTCTCAATCCGAGCCGCTATCCATTACACCGCCATACCTGCATCTTCATTTTAAGTCTCCTTTTGGTTTCCATTTTCTCTTAAATATAGTCGTTGCTCACATGTTCGGTCCATTATTCTCGGCATCCTTCTGTCAAACCACATTTCTGACGCTTCAGGTGTCTTCTTCAGGAGATAAGATATTACGTAGCATTTCTATATATTAATGCTTTGCTTATTGTCTAGAAGGCATCTTTCGCTCTCTTTATGCGTTTTCGGATTTCTGTATCATATTTTGCGCCTCCAATTACTAGACTATTTTGGTTAAATTTCTGCACCTACTTGATTTTGCCGTTCCCAATCATAAACACACATCTTGGACTGTCAATTTTGCTTACAACCATGCGTTTTGTTTTCTTGAAATGGATAGTTAGTCTTTTCTATCTGTCTATATTTCTGAGATGAGACATTGTAATTAGTTACACTAGTTATATTGTATGTAATGTTATCTTCATCTTTGTTGCCATATTCACAACGTTTCGGCCTTCTTCTTGAACTAGGACTAGAACAATCTACTCCGTGGACGAAAAAAAGGGTTCAGTTTGAAATTCCAATCACCTGAAGAAAGCCGGAGCGTACAACGGTCGAAACGTCGTAAATGTGGCAACGAAGATTAAAAGAACAGTCCGAACAATGTAAATAGTGTAAATAATTAGTCTTTTTTTTCTTTTTGTTTCTTTCTTGATTTCCTTTACTGCCTGACTTGTTTCAGTTTCTTTTTTGAGTCTGCTATCAACACAGTGTCATCTATTCATCTTATAATGTGAAGATTATATCCTCCAATAATTAATGTGGTTGGTTTTGTAATTCTCATGAGATCCAACCATTTTTTTACTACTCCTAATCCTACTTTAGATTTTAGTGTCGGCGTTTTTTATCCTAGTGCCTGCCATTTTCGTATAATGGCTACTACCTCTTTGTGGGGGATGGCTATATCACAAAATATCATTGCAGGACTTAATAGTAATTTGAACGGATATGACTTTTAAGCCAGACAAATTTTTAAAATCTCTGGCTAGACTACCTTGGTAATGACAGCTTTTTCTGACTAAGCCTGCCATTCCTTATGGGAAAAGATCTTACGATAACAAGCCATAACTATACATGAAATTTTTAACGTAAAGAAAGACGTTGCCTTTGGTCAATCCTACTCTCTGACCAAGAACAGCATGTACTTCAAAAGAAGAACCATCCAATATAATTGCAAGCTGTCAAGTGGTAGGTGTTCTTCTACTTGGATACCTTAACAAAGGCTAAAGCGACAAACAATTCCCGTGTGTTTATTGGACGCCTAGATACCAATCCAGGTATTTCTACATTCCCCGTGTTAGTGCTAAATGGCCGTTGATGCCAAGAAAAGAGATGGTTCTATTTTTAATCCTGTTGGGCGTCTTGCCATCCTCATCACTAGAAAAGCCTAGTGGGTAGTACTTATATATATATATATATATATATATATGTGAAAGGATTAAATCCGACAGTTATTTAATATATATTCTGTTTATATATATAATTTATTTTATAGATATATATATATAATTTATTTAATATAAATGCTTAAATCGACGCTTTTTAAATAAGCAGTTTATTTATTAATTTAATTACATTTATCGGCCTGAATGTTCGAGAAATTTCGTAAAAAAAATATGCTTTCTCGGACAGGAATTGAACCTGTAGCTCAACTCGGACTTTGTTAACCAGACGCTTCCCCGTGTCTGAATGGTAACTGTCTATATGTCGGCTCCCATAAGAAGGGTTACAGGTTCGATTCCTGCCGGAGAACGCATATTTTTTACGACATTTCTCGAGAATTCAAGCCGTAAATGTAATTAATACATTTTAATTAAAAACAGAGCACTTACTTAAATAAATCGTATCTTTAAAAATAACATATAAACAGAAAATATATGAAATATGCATATATATATATATATTCGACTCTCCCGTCGAATTCGACGAATGAGGGTCAAACAGATCAGTTCCCAGGAAACTGACAGCCCGACAACAGCACATGAGATTTAATTATAGTAGTGAAAGTTTCGTGCAGGACCATCCATACTTTTTGAAGGGACCAATTCAGAGACCTGGTGCACTACATGACCCTCTTCATGTTTTGAATTCAGAGTTGTCCTTCTCCGAAACCAGTTGCCATCCAAGGCTATAGAACCCAGTCTGTCCTGCTATTTAGCCATAGCTGGAGGAAGAAGAGGATTCACACCTTTCCCAAGGGTATTAGCACTTAACTGAATGTAAATAGGTCTGATGAATTGGATCGTATTTACGATTCCAATGGAATAAATTATGACCATGGAATATTGGTGTTTAAGCCTTTTTATTATATCCTTACTCTGTCCTGGACATTGAGTTCTACCTGGATTCTTCCTCTTGGAATTTTTATTCAAAAAATATACATGTATGGGTATTTATATACTTTTGCATACGTATGTATATTTACCACTAATATTATCTATCTATCTATCTATCTATATATATATATATATATATATATATATATATATATATATATATATATATATATATATATATATATATATATATATAAAGAAATAATCATAGAATTAATCAGAAGTATTAATGCGATTATTGGCGACATCCATCGCTAGAAAACATATATGCATTAAAATCCTGTTCATCCATAGTGCGAGTTTTGATCCTCGTCGATAAACTTGTTGTCTGTAGTTTTTCAGTTTATAGATGTTAAAATGCTAGTACTTACGAATAGTCTTCTATTCATCATCAGGCATGTGTTTTTTTTCCTTATAAAATCAAAAACTTGAGATGATATATCTGTATGTCGACCGAAAGATGTTTTTTGAATATCTGCTATTATTGACGGTTGTGTAAGATCTCGGAACGTGCAAAGACGCAACGCTAAGTTTTTCAAAATTTTAAGTGAGAATTTTATTTAAATATTTCTTGTAATGTGTTAAATCCACGTATTCTATTTTTACAAGTGTATTCAGTTTTTATGTCATGAACTAAGTATATAGTTCAATAATATAGTGTAATGTCTTAGTAGTAGTTTTTTATAGGAATTTTTTATGTACTGCGGATCTTACACAACCGTCAATAATAGCAGATATTCAAAAAACATCTTTCGGTCGACATACAGGTATATCGTCTCAAGTTTTTGATTTTATAAGGAAAAAAAACACATGCCTGATGATGAATAGAAGAGTATTCGTA